TTTATATTTGGCAATATCATCCCATTTTATATAAAATACCCTGATGTTCATCTGCACGAATGATAAGATGGAAGTCTTTCCAATGTAAACGTAAATTTACTGAAGAAAGATGAATATAAAAAGTTGGGAAGTTTATCTTTGACTTTGAAGTAGTGACCAATGGTGTGTGTGGATGTGAAAATGGTCCGTAAATCTATAGTTGAATATTGCATATCTATGAGGTTTAGTAATTTCCTTCTAGTAGTATAATTCATGGAACCTATGTATGGAAGGTTTATGTAAATTATATCTTTGGTGGAAAGTTATACTGGGTTCTACTCTGGGTTCTACTCTGTTCCCCCGATCCCGTGCTCGTTGGGGTTTGGGAGTCGGAGACTGAATCCCAAAGTAGGGGACCACCCCTACCATGGACCTCAGCCCTCGCCTCACTAATTTTGCATGGTCTTTTCTCCTTTCCTTTTCCTTCTTTTCTTCATCCCCTGTCCACTTATCGTAATGTTTACCCTTTTCGCCACAATACTTTGTCATAATGCTGTCTGACCTATGAAGTCTGGTGCATTTGTTCGTTTTGACCATTGACCATTCTTTAAATCCACATTGTCTTGTGAATCTAAAAACTTACCCGGGGGCTCCGCCCCCAAATCGTTATATTTTGAATACGTCGCTGATGACTTTAAATATCTTAAATAAATTAATTAATCAAGGTTTGTCCGATGGAACTCTGAATGGCAAATAATGGTAAACCACTCCTTCTTAGGATGTCAGTAACAGAATCAATTCCAGTGGTGAATATTAGAGCTTTATAGTTCTATCAGAATTATAGGTCATTTTAGATATGCTATAAACGCTTTTAAAAATTCGACATTACACAGCAGAAACATGTGGTGAATATTAGATATGACTCATATTTTATATGCTCTGTTGATATGAGTATTTACCAAATTAGTTTTGTACTTGATAATGATGAAGTATCATCTAAAGCCAAACAAATAATCAGCTAAAAAGTTAAAGTAAAGGAATTGCTTGATGCCCTCACAAATTCTATTTCTTGGCTAGACCTGTGCCAAAACCCTTGAGAAAATTAGAAAGACTCATGAAAAAATGACCTGGACAACATTCCCCTGTCTAGTGGAGTATTTTGCCTTGGTTCTCCCCTTCTCTTATTTTCTTGGATTCGGTACCAAGTTTTTAATAATCTTCCGAACTTATATAACGAGGTATCATTCTCTCAGTCTTTATAAGAGAAAAGCTTGAGTTGTTTTAATATTTCCCAATACCTAAGACCTGCCATGTTGTCTAATTGTGGGTCAAGACTCTTTGAACCTGTTCTATCAGTACTATGTCTTTAGTGAGACTTGGATTCCATATTTGGCACTGTTTTCCATATTGGCAGCAGGAGTTCTGGATCTCTTGCCTGAACAGGTCCTCCCCTCGTCCATCCACTTTTCCTTTACCGGTTGCCTGCTCAAGATGGTGATAAGCTCATATCATTGCTCATGGACAGGCCTAGGTCTTTTACAGTTACTCTTTTTAAATCTCCATTCCTTCAGTAGAGTATGATATTAGTCCTGGACTTTCAGTTGGAATATATCTTGTGTTTTCAAATTTATCAGCACTGAAAGGCATATTGTTTTCACTTGCCCATTTACAAATGTCATGCAGGTCCTCTCGCAGTTTGTATTCATTCTCTATCAAACTTAAAAGATGGTACCCTGGAGGGTTTAATATCTGCATTTATGTCTCCAATCATAATAGGGGTTCAAGAACTGAGTCTTGTGGTACTCCAATTCTAACAGGTGATTCAACAGAATAAGATCCATTAATAATTACTTATTTCTTGCGATTTGTTAGAAAGTCTTGTATCTATATTCCTACTTTTCCTCTGATTTCAATGTCCTTATGGAATGGTAGTCGACTTTATCGAAAGCTTCTGCAAAGTCAAATATATTACATTAACTTCTTTATGCTAAATTAAGTTTCGTAGTATGCGTTCGCATTGGTCTGTCCTTATTAAAGCCATGCTGTCCGGGGTTCCTCTTGTTTTCTTGTTCCAGGTATTACCAGTTCAGATATTTTTATTGTATGTTTGTGTTACGGCCAATATTTTTTTATTTTTCATTTTTTTTTGCTTAACTTTTGTTTTCACCTTTGTAGATAGGAATTGTATTTCCCTCCTTCAGTGAGTTTAGAATAATTCCCATATCTAAGGATTTCTTCCATAGAATAACTAGGGACTTTGCTATGGATTCTTTACAATTTTTACAGCTCTCGACGCCCCAGCATATAAGTATATACGCATTGCTGCAGTATACGAACTTTTGACGAACTCATATTTCATTATTAGTAGTATCATAATATTCTTTATTACCTTTATTAGTAGTATGATTACTATCGTTATTATTTCGTAATGTCATAATTACATTAAAAATAATTGTCATTGTTTCTATTGTCATTGTTCGAATAATAATGATATCAAATAATGATAATGATATCACTTATCCTAGTAGTTAATTTCGTTATAAACAGTCCCCAGCCGAAAAATTTCTTTTCCACCCACGTAGGAGGAGGAGGGGGGGGGGCGGTCATTTGATGCCTCGAACGCACCTCGCATTCAAAGCGCAATCCATACCACTAGCGGGCAGAGACTCTATTGACTAATAATGACAATGTTATTTATAAAATATGAATTCTATAAGGTGTATTGTATATGTATGGATGTGCGTGTTTGTGTACCTGTGTAAAATTGTATGTGTGATTTGTTGTTCCTTTATATATGTGCATGTGATCCTTTTACAGATACTGGATATGGTTTATCTTATATTTCTATTGACTACTCCTCGTGTTATTTGCTGTCATTTCAAGTGGAATTTTATAAATAACAGAACAGAAACAATCTTTTATTATCTATAGTTTCAGAAATCAGATCAGAGATAAGATTAATAAGATATCTGATACAATCACGCAATACTTCACAACATATTGACTACGAGTACAATAAAGTGTTGCACATTCATTAGATTATCTCGAACAAAAATAAACGAAGAAAACAAGCAAATCAAATCAAGGAGACGAATAAATAAAACGTAAGGGCGTTTCCCAAGTAAAGAAAAAATATACATTCCCTAATTAAATTGTTAAAAATAAGCATTTCCGAACGAGAAATAAATGAGAAAGCAACTGGCATTTTCCATGTAAACACAAATATGCAAAGAAACCAAAGGATGTGTTATTAACCCTTCATGCTGGGATGGTATGACATACCTGCCACATCCACTGTGATTTTCATTCATTGACTGCGTTTACTCATAGATAGGTCCACCAGTTCGAGTACACCCACAGCCTGGTAAATCTTCCCAAGAGATGCGCCTACATGTCGGAGTATTCGTCTTATCCAAAGAACAAAAGAGACGAGAGGGGAAGGCGAAGGGGGGCGGGGAGGAGGAAGGAAGGCAACATGGCACTTTATTGCTTTAATTATCATTATTATTAGTTATTGTAAATGAGGCTATCATCATCATTGTTATTACTTATTATGATTAATGGTATTGCTATTATCACTGTTACAATTATTGCCAATTATACGATTTTGTTCTTGTTGAGTTGCATTGTTAAGATTAGTGGGATTATCTGATTTTCTAAAACCATCATTAACATATGTGTGTATATATATATATATATATATATATATATATATATATATATATATATATGTATATGTATATATATATATGTATATATATATAAATATATATATATATATATATATATATATATATATATATATATATATATATATATATATATATATATATATATATATGTATATGTATATATATATATATGCATATATATATATATATATATATATATATATATATATATATATATATATATATATATATATATATATATATATATATATATATATGTATATAATCGACCGATCAATTGATGACGGTTATAGTGACCTCTCTTATTGTTAAGACTGTCCAAATAATATATATTGCATGTTATATCTTGCGAATTTCAGCCAACTTTCCCAGGACTCGGAGAGCAAGAGGATCATTTCTAACGATTTTATTTCTGAGTCATAACATTACTGAATAACAGAGGATCGTATTACGAATAAGAACACATATATATCTTAATAATACGCAACAATCTAACGATTGTACGGATTAAGTTGTAGTTTGACTTACCAAACGCTTATACCAGGCTCTGAAACGCACACTCTTTCTCTCTTTCACACACACACACACACACACATCTCTCTCTCTCTCTCTTTCTCTCTCTCTCTCTCTCTCTCTCTCTCTCTCTCTCTCTCTCTCTCTCTCTCTCTCTCTCTCTCTCTCTCTCTCTCTCTCTCTCTCCCTCTCCCTCTCCCTCTCAGTCTCTCACACACACACATCTCTCTCTCTCTCTCTCTCTCTCTCTCTCTCTCTCTCTCTCTCTCTCTCTCTCTCTCTCTCTCTCTCTATATATATATATATATATATATATATATATGTATATGTATATATATACGCACCCTGTCCTCCTCCTCCTCTTTGACTCTTTGGGAGTTTGCAAACGTTTTCTTTCATCGTCAAATCTATATATGATTATTTTACACTGCCTTGGAGTGTGAGAGTATCCTCCTCACTCTTCGAGAATCCATGCTGTGAAACTGGGATTAATGCCTTAATGATTTTCTATCACATCTTCGCAATAAAAAAAAACAAAAAACAAAGTCTGGACGGTGCAAAATTTTGGTTCTCAGGACACTTGCTAGCACGGCGACTTTGCTACACCTATATCTCCATTCTTTCAGTTTGCAATTAATGCCATTATATATTTTAGGAGCAGAAAAAACAACAACCGATAATCATATAACTGTTTAACTATAAAAATAATGCCAAAGCTAAACAGTATTATCGTCATAACAACAAAATACTAATAACTGACACCAGCCACCTCCCCCTTCCCGACTTGTTGCCTCCCTCCCTCACTTGTTGCCTCCCTCCCCGCCTGCCCCCGCGTCTGTTTTACTCTAGATAAGACGAATACTGCGACATCTATAGGCGACACATAAAATCTTTTGCTTGGCTGTGTAGTCGGCCTTTTGCTCCTGTCTGTACGTCAGGCACGAAAGCAATTACTAGTACTACAATCTTACCCTTTTACTATTTTCCTTGATTTTCAGATTTTCTATAGCTATTAGCATTTTAATAACAATATAATAACAGTAATGTTAATAACCGTAATGTAATAACAGTATCGACTATTTGACTTCTTGGTGGTCTAGCACTTTTGTAGCCATCTGTGTGCGACAGAAATCACAGTGGACAATGCACACTCCCGTGTCCAAAGGGTTAATGTTTGTTCTTCTTCCTTGACTGGTCTTCGTCGCTTTGCTGAGGACGAAGGGAAAGAGTGAGGAAAGGACTGATCTGCTAGTGACATTATTGCGCTCCATTTTTTTCAAATCTTACGAGGGAACACTCGTGTAAGAGAATCAAGGAAATCTAAATATACAGATTATGTTAACCAGATTAAAAGGCATATTCTTTTGTAAGACAATATATACATGCACACACACACACACACGCACACACACACACACACACACACACACACACACACACACACACACACACACACACACACACACTTCTAATGTTCTGTAAAATAAATTCAAACATTGCCATTATCTTCAATGAGAGCAATTGATTACTTACTATGCTGACAGTCACAATCAGCAGCAACACCTTAGACCGGATATCCAAATTCTCCATAAATACCAGTTTGTTCTTGGTCCTTCGTGCTATTTCTATGGATGCCACCTGCCTTCCTTCGCCCGAGAAAACCTGCAATTGAAACGTTATTTGTTTTTGCTTATTGTTATGACTCAATGGGGTCATATTATATGCTTTTTTGGTCTTTCAAGAGGTTATCAAGATATTTTGTCAATTAGGATAACTGGTTTTATACATCTTAATACAGAGGGATTTTCTTGGAGAATATATAACAAGCCAACGCACTGAGGTTCCCTCTTCGGAAACCTAACGTCATTACAGTCCAAAAAGAAGGAGAAAAAAGAAACCTGAAAAGGTGGTCTGGTGCAACAACCAGATTCTCCCTCTATTGTCAGTAACACGTCGCCGCTGGTGTTGGTCAGCTCGTAGCTGCGCACAGCGAGTCTCTTCACTTGGCCTACTAACACCCCCGATGGATACGTGACTTCAATGTGCTGTGGAATTGAAGTTGCAGTTAGGGAAAGCAAATTCGTATAAGGAGTCAAATCCTTATCACTGGTTCCTCCAGTGCTCACATAATCATGACGGATCCCAGTATACTTTGGTGTAACTAGGAAGGATTACAACGAAGTGGAAGAACGTAATTCTAAAAGACGAAAATAACGAGAATGTGATCCGGACCTGCTCGACTGAACAACAGCCGCCTGAGTCTTGGAAACGTTCGCCAACGATTACCGGCTCCTTATCTGGATCCCGCACAGTAAACTTGGTGCTGCTTGCTGTAGGATCACAACAGGCGCCGCAGTTGCAGTCGGAGGTTCTCTTGGAGGTGAAAACGACTTGCGAAGTGACATCCTTGATCTTTATCATGCTACCTAAAAACGAGAGACAGGCTCGTGTGTATTAAAGTTAATGTATAATCACAAATGGAAATCAGACATTGAACATTCTGATTTTTAGGAATCGGTATAGCAGGAAAATTATGCCTCCTGACTGAAATTCCACCAGCCGTATGTTCCCTCAGGATAGGACCCGGGAAACCACGCTTTGGTGACACACACTAATATATAAAAAGAGGAATTTTGGACAGGGGGTTAAACAGACTGGTACACCGGATAAACCGTCCTCAGTGTCTAATAGCTCACACACACATAATTAAACAAGTGAATGAATTGAATAAAACAAATGAACACCAACAAACCCATGGATGAACTCAAGACCAGTTCATTAGCATCACGTAGACGGTGCAGTTCCGGAGGACAAGACAAGCTGTAGTCAAACACATTATATTGAGTTGGTTGTTGGTTTTGAATGGGCTCTGAACCATCTAACGTGGACGTGACCAGCGAGTTCGGATGGTGAACGGGAGCCGAGATCTGCTGGTCGTCATCCATAGCTGTGAAAGGAAAGAATGATGTAAGAAAAATGTAATCAATACTTATCGGTCTTTATCGTGGTATTGTAATATAAGTTACTGTTTTTTCTTCTTCTATTGTTTCAGGTTTGCAGGCGTATACTTGACTCGCACTTTTTTATAGATTTTTACATGGTGTTATTTATTTTTACATATAATTATATAAAGGTTACACTATGATTATACAATTGGAGTTTGAAAGGGTACTTAATGGCGTGATATGATGCAGAAATACAATCGTAGTTTTCGTTTGTGAATTCCCAGTCAAGCATTTTTAGCCGAGCGTTTTCCATTAATTGGTGCCATAGAAGTGCTGTGGTCAATGCTTAAATGAGTCGCAATAATTTAAAG